CCTGGGAATTTGTTTTTAAAGGCAATCTATGTTGGGAACCTCTTCTGTACAGTATATATACTAGAAAGAGTATATTAGTTGTAAAAAATTACAATCTCAAGAATATAAAAAAAGTGAAGTAAAGGGGCCAGGGAGATGGCTTAGTAGAATAAGCATTTGCTTGGCAAGCACAAGAGCCTGAGTTCAATCCCCAGTTCCGCAAATAAATAAATAAATAAATAAAATAAAATTATCTGTTCACTTACTTGATAGTTTTCAAGAAAGCTTTTAAATTCCAAGTGCTTTCATTGTCTGAACAGAGATTTTTAGCCAGTCTTTTAAAAATGAAGGCTCAGATCTAAATACTAGCTATCATGTACTCACTCTGCAAATTCCTAGTACAGTAATATTTTGAGAGAGGTGGTGAACTCACAAATCAGACTATGTCCCTGAGCTTTCTGAGCTCTGCCCTGCTCTCAGATTTGGGTTCCAGCCTTTGTCCTGTTTTCAGTGCAGCAGGTCCTCAGGACCAGCTCTCAGCATGGCGGCTGAGTCCTGGTGATCCTCCAGCATGTCTCAGTGGTAGCCTCTATATAGACTGTGACCAAACCCTGAAAGTCTACGTTCTGTGTTCCAGACGCCATGTCCTTGCGGGCTTTCACACATGGTGTATTGTGCCCTGCCCTGCAAGCCCTGCTTTCCCCTCAGCTGGACAGATCTTGTCCTTCTTATGGGCTCCACTCAAAAATCATCTTCTCTGAAGAGTCTTTTTCTGCCTCTGTTGCCAGAGGCCAGCGCCTTCCATGCTGTGCCTCGGAGCATCTAGATTGTACCTCTACTTTACCGTTAGCACACAAGTATAATTATTTTGTTGGTCTTTCTCATTTATATTTCTCAAAGTTTACCACTTTCTGGGCTTGGAGTAAGGGGTTTATTTATGCTTATGTAATGAATTAATAATATCAGCTGTAATTTGTTCTATATTTAAAGAGGCACAATACTAGCTGTTCTGCATACATCGCCCATGAAACTTGAAATTTAGCAACTAGTAATGAGTATTACAGTGAATCATGAGAGATATCAGAAACTTGTCAAGTGACATAGCTATGTGGTGGCACATGTAGAATTTGAATACAGTGTTTTTCTACCTCTAAAGACAATATCCTTAAGTGTTACCCATGGTGCTTTCCTATAAGGGTTGGCTTAGGGCATTTTCTGCTACAGAAATCTAACAGATACCACAGAACGGGAAAATGGAAAGGCAGAGAAGTTTCTCTGGCTCGCGGCTCTGGTGGATGGGAAGCTCACGAGAGTGCACCAACATCTGGAGAGACCTCCGCTACAGAGTAACTGGTGCAAGGGCAGGCAAGCTGCCTGAGACACAGAGGAACTTGGCTCAAACTGCACCTTTTCATGACTTTGACACACACTCTTGCAATAACCCAGTCCAACGATCAGCAGGTGAGGGCAGAGTCCTCTTATTTGGATCACTTTTTAAAGTTCCTCCTTTTAATATTACAGTGGTGGTTAAATTTTAACACAAATTTTCGCGGAGGCATTCAAATCATAGCAGCTTCATGTTGTATTTGATTGCTAATAACGATTTCTCTTTCATGGCTCCTATGAAAACATCATCCTCATAACTGAAGCATGGAGAGAGAACCAGCATCTTTCATAATGGGCAGGATGCTCCACAGCCGGGGTCGGGAGCATGTGTCCATGTGCCACACATGTGCACGCACGCATCCCATGAGCAGCAGAGCTCCCCCATATATGTCAGACCATCCTGTCTGGAATGCTTAGTTTGCAAAATGAGAAATAAAAAGCACAAAATAACTATTAACCACATCAAGGCAAAATCATCAAGTCACCAGAATAGAAAGAGGGGCCTCCTTTCAAATGAAACTCATGCAATTACCCCAAATTGCACGTGATTTTTAATGAGCTACAGCCACCTTCTCCATTTCTATTTTATTTCTTGGAAAAGAAGAAAATAATTATTTACGCAGAAGGGTAATTCCCATTTCCAACCACTAACACATGGCCTTTAAGCAAATAATATTCTCATTCTTCTCTTGTTCAAGAACCCTCTCTTGGACAGCGACAACGTGCAGCATGTTGCTTTCCTGTAACCTGACCAGAGCTACCGCTCTCACTCACCAACCACCAGGAGTAAGCAGTTACTTCTGAGATAATAAAGCTGCAGCACTCTGTCAAGATCCTTCCAAAATTGTTTCTGCCCATTTTAAGAAGTAATCATATGAGTTTGTTAGTAAGCAGGAGAAATGTCCTACAAACTGAGCCTGGTGTCACAAAGGGCTGACACGCAAATACATTAGTCTGTGACCAAGGAAGCGCATGTTTCTTGTGGGGCTGAAACATGTTCACAGCTGTGAGCTGTTGGACAGTCGTCAAGAGAACAATGTCAAACACTGAACTTCGGGATGATTTCCATAAAAATAACATTTTGTTTGGGGTCAGTAATTTTTGTGCAATTTTGGAATTATTTTTGTTGACAGTTTTTTAGTGTTGACCTGGAACACCTCCAAAACTGTTCCTCAAATGGAAATATTATGTAATCCAATCTTTGTGCCCATCTCTTTCTGAAAACCAAATACAGCCCATGAAAAGCAGGATTCTTCTCTGTCCCTCTTTCAGTGTGTACAGCTTTAAACAGTTTAAATTGTGCTATGTATTTAGAAAGGTACATTTATTCTTCAATTTTCTTTGTTTAGTCCCTATATCCAAGTCAGCCCTTCAAATGTGTAATAACTAAATCTAGCAGGGGAAAAAGGTAATGGACTCCATCGCTGGAAATCTTATCAGCACCCTAGGATACTTATTTTTCAGTTTTAATTTATAATTAGTGCATGTTTGCATTCTTTGTGGAGAGTTGGTACTGGATGGACCATATCTCAATTCTTTTTTAAGCCCCTTTCCTATTCCTCCCTTTGTCTCCCTCCCTCTCTTGATTCCCCTCCTATTGGAAAAAGATCTATCTCTCTACCTCCTATTATTTTGTATCTTGCTTTTTATTTATAATTTATGTTTCTCAAATTTATCCTCCTTAAGAGCAGATAATAGAAAAAATGGATAGCTTCTTCTCAGGAAAAAAGGAATTAAGAGCATGAGAAACTGTTCCACAGTGCTGCCCATCTGAGAAATACAAATCAGAACACTCCTGAGATTCCTTCTTATTCTCGAGAGAATGCCCATCATCAAGAAATCAAATAATAACAAATAATGGGGAGGCTGTGGGGGAAGGAACCTTTGTCCTTTGAGGTGGGAATGGAAATTAGCCGTCACTGGATTCACTTGGAGATGCATCAGATAAGTACAGCTAGCAATATTCTTTAAAGTGAAAAAGATAATGGGCCTGAAATGAAGTGGATGAGTAGTTCATTTGGGAACTATTTTTTTTTTTTTGTCTGTGTATATCCCAAATAACTTGATATTTGCTTCACCTTGGCCTGAAGTCTCATTTTTATTCAGTGTACCTCTAGAGCTCAAAGTTTGGTACAGCGTTATTCGAACCCCACAAGTCAAGCTTTTAAAGTAGTTGGCAGGTTTTGTAAATATAGCGCATGACAAGGCTAGTTGTGGTGCAGGATCATTAATCCAAGGAGACGGTCGGGGGCTAGCATTAATAATCCCTTTGCCATGTTAATAATCCCGCTCCCTAGGATTCTGTAACCAGAGCTTTAAAAGAAAATGAGCCAAACCACTGAATTCAGTATTTACAGGCTGTTTCAGGACATGAAAATATTTTGGTTCTCTCCAGCAAATAATTTTTCCAGAATACTCTTGTCCAAAATCACTTATTATGGACAAATTTCGGATTTTATAGGAATCAGCATACAGGAACACAGACAGATTTTGCCCTACACTAAAGCATGGTTCCTCACCTTCATTCACTAAGCTGTTGATTTAAATATAAGTAATTTCTCATTGAGGTATAGGTGTTAATGAATGTTATTAGAATCATGCCTTCAAAAATCACTTTGACACTGTTCATTATATACATAGAATACGTAAAATGTCTAGTCAAAGAAATAAAAGCTGTACTTCCAATTTAGTGAAAGCTAGTCTTCCAATTTTTTCTTTGATCAAATTACTCTTTCCCCTAAGGCCCTCAGGGTCCAGATCTCCACTCCGACATCATGCTGGTGTTAATACGTTCTTGGACATCAAAAATGGTACAGCCTCTTTGATTCCACATTTAAAAGCACCTCGTGGTATCAGTCAGAACTTAGCCTAAGCTTCGAGCCCCATTTAGTGTCAGGGGCTTCATGGAATCTAGTGCACACCTACTTTATTAGTAGAAACAAATCTTCACCCTCATGGCTTGTACGCAGGACTTTTGATAAGTCTATAAGGAGACGGAAATGTAAGCTATTTTAGCACACTGACATTTATGTTAAAATACATCCATCCTGGAAGTGTTATCTCAAGTTTGCTATGCAAATGAGTTATCTTAAATGACATGCAAATATTAACAGATTGTCAATATAGAACTGCTACTTGGAGATCTTTTTTTTTTGTGTGTGTGTGTGGTACCGGGGATTGAACTCAGGACCCTACACTCGACAGGCAAGCACTTGTTCTACTGAGCTATCTCCCCGGCCCAGGAAATTTTTAATAAAAATGATTTCCTAAATATAAGTCAGATAAAATATACATATTGATAAATTTCTACACAGCAAGAAATTGACTCAAAACTTTCTATCACATGTAAGGAGTTAGTATGTAAAATAAATTCCACGTTTACAAGGATATGACTCTTGAGTACTAAATAAGGATATTACTATTTGCTTCATTCCATCGTCTATTCGTTTCATGTTTGCTTTGTTGAGGATATAACATGGACTTAATCAAAAGCTCTTGAACGACTGATTTAAAAAGTATTTCAAATCTATGTGTACTGTATACAGTATAAAATTAATTTAAGTCACCTTTGAAAACCTATATTAAAATAGAATGCAACTCAGTATGACACTTAAAGGAGTCTCCTTTTCTTTTAGGAAAAAAAGGAAGAGAGAGGAAAAGAAAAAAACTGAATAAAGAAGAAAGTAAAGAAGCAATCCCTGATAACAGAGGTCTGGAATCCAGCAGAGACACCCCAGAACAACGAGAAAACAAAGACAAACAGCAGCAGAAGAAGAGAAAAGTCCAGGAGAAGCAACAGAAATCGGTACCGGTCAGCACTGTGCACTAAAGGGTCCTGGGAGATTAGTGTAGACTCTGGCGCTGCTGTCTCAGTTGGAGATGCCCTGGAAAGGGGCCATAGCCCTTGGGACCACAGACGGACAATGCAGCAGTTACTCCTCTGTCTAGACAACATTCCAAATAGCTGTACATGCTTCATGCAGGCATAGCTGACAACAGAGAGCCGAAAGTTCAAAGGAGGGATACCTTCACGCAGTTATCTTACTGCTTCTGTGCATTTTTAGAAGACAAGAAATTTTGTACATAATTATCAATAAGCTATAAGCTATCATCAGCATAATGATGACATCTGGAGAAGAAACGTCTTTTCCCTATTAAAGTATTTGTCCAGCTATTATTTTAAGAAGCGACAGATGATTCTGCAGATTCAAAGATGCAGTATCCCCTCAAAACAATTAGGAGATTGGGAAAAGAGACATCCTTCCAAGGAAGTGCGCTTCTGTCTGGGAGAGCTAGAGAGCTCAGGGTGAGGGCCTGGAGGTGGAGTGCTAGAACTGACCACGCAGGAGCAGCTTTACACTAGAAGAGTTCAGGTTACTCTTTGCTCTCCCGCGCTCCTTCAAGAAAGACAAGAGTGTGCACCCGAGTTAAATATTCTGTGTGGGACTGGAGGAAGGCAAAACGTGGAAGAAATCATAGCTTTGGAGACTGCTTTTGTGCTTTACAAAACAGTGAAGGGTCATGTTCACCAGGAACAGGTCTCCAATGTATGGCAGCGCTGCTGGGTCAGCCTCGCTGCCCCTTGGATTGCATAAGTCTGTAAGCCTGTGCCTCTAACTTTCTTCCAAAATCAGAATCACACTTACTGAGAGAAAATTCTGATTTCATAGAACACAAAACAATAGAGCAAAGAGAATATACCATGTTTGCAAAGTCTGCGTTTCCTTTCTCTCTCAATGAGGGAAAAACAGTTTTATTACCTGCTTACTGGTCCACCCGGAACTGAAAGGAGTCCTACTTTCTAACACGATGTGTCTAGTGAGGAAGAAAGCCGCCACAATAAATATATTTGTTAATAGTTTTTGAAGTTTGGTTCATTTTTGAAGTTTGATTCAAACATTATTTTATGGTTTGTTTTCTTGGGGAATTTCTTGAGTGTTTTAAGATACTCAAGAATTAGAAAAGAGAATTCTGCTTAATCAGAGAATGTGTGTCTTGTATACTCCAAACATAACATTTCTTAGTGTTTTGCCTTTTGAACCCACCTTATCTGAGCCATCATAGACTTACTTCTGGGAAATCAGGAGAAATATATTCAACTTTTTTCTTATTTTAATCCAAAATTCCTTGTTATAGACTCCTGGCCTTCCTAAATGATTTTCCTGCTCCCCTGAGTGCCTAGTAATGAGCATCTTTTCTTCTATCTTCATTCTTCCTGCATCGCCAACATCTAGTCTTTTCTTCTCCATATTTTCTCAGTCTTTGGATCTCTTTTGGGGACGAAGTCACCCTAGCTGAAGCCCTCACCATTGTTTCACAGAGGACCTAGCCAGCCCAGTCCTGAAGGAGGCGTCTCTGAGTGCCTGGCCTAGAAGGGCGTGGTTCACACTACAGCCTTTCTGCTGTCAAGGAAGGATGTGCAGCTGCGCCGCCTGCCACGTGTCCTAGCCCTCTCCAGGGCATCGCTTTCTGAAGAATTTGCAATGAATATGCCTTCTGTCTGTCTGTCTGTCTGTCTGTCTGTCTGTCTGGGTACCCTTTCTCCACCAACTGTGCTACCCATGTGGCCTACTTGGCTTAATTGATTTTCTACTTTTCCTTTCTCAAGACATAAACATGTTCAATGATGTACTCCTGTTTTTTTGTTTGTTTGTTTGGTTTTTTTTTTTTCTGTAGTCTGTACGACCTCAGGTTTTTAACCAGCTAACTAGCTCTGTTCCCCACGTGTCAGATAATTCTATCTTCAGTGGCAACTCAGGTTACCAAGGAGAAGCAATCTCTATCCTAAGGAATTACATGAGGTAGAAGTATGCCCCTGCGTTTCAGGTACCACCTCACATGGCCTTGGTGTTATTCAGATAAGTAAAAGTAGCCAAGTTATTCTTGCATTACTTTCAGTATTTTTCTCCATTCTTTCAGCAAACACAAGGAAGGTCTATACTCGCTTTCCCAGTATTGGAAAATGTTGCATAAAGCAGGCCACAAAATGACTACTATGTCTTCCCATGTGATCCTCTTGACTATGGCAGTTGATTTAAATTCTTGAAGGAAAAAAGTTAAATACAGAGTTGAAGTTGCTAAAGTACTAAGAGGCCTGGTGCAGTGACATGCACCTGTGATCCCCACGCTCTGGAAGCCTGAGGCCGAAGGTTTCCAAGTCTGAGCCCAGCCTAGACAAATGAGGACTTTAGTACTTTAGTGAGACCTCGTCTTTAAACCACAAACAAACAGGCCAGGGATGTATGTCAGCATGAAGGACCTGGGTTCAATTCCTAGTGTTATGCTCATGGGACAAATGAGATTGATCTTCATTAACATTAATGAAGATCAATCTGTACATTGGGTCAGTACAAATGAAGAGAAAAGTAACACCAATTTTAACTCTCAATCCATTCATAAGAATATGTTAAACATGTGGGATCATAGAATATTCATAGAATATTTTATGAGCAAAAATGCATAACCGGCTTCTGGTACAGTTCCTGCCTAGTCACAGAAGGCATCGCTGATGTCACAGATGGTGGGTAAATTCTCAGTGCAAAGACGGAACTGAGGGAGTGGAGAATGTAAAGTGTCTGATCTATGACACTGCCCAGCTCTCTGGGTTCTGCCTTGTAACAGGAGAGGCTTCTGTTCTATCACTGGATTTGGGTGCAGGTTCGGGCATGTACATCGCTAAGTCTCTCACCTGCTCTTCTTTGGCCCGCATTTCCCATGCCCAGGAAGAAAGCATAGACTGATGACCGTGCTCTCAGGCATGGGGACATTTGTCCCTTCCTCTTGGTCAGTGTGACACCCACACAAGTCCTGAGGAGTCACAGTGTCCTGAGGAATCGGCTTAATCCTGGTTTCCCAGAAGTGGAAATACACAGGCCATCAGAGGACACATACTGAACTCTGATGGTCTGCTGTTATTTAATTAAGTGATTCACATTAGTGAGCATTAAAATATTGTAATGCATGACATAAGGAAAGAAATGTGTGTATAAATGCAGCTGATGCTAAGGTAACAGGCAGATCCTCTCCAAGGGAGGTGATAAAGAAAGTAGAGCACTCTGCCGATGGAGTTAGCTAGTGGTTGTTTTTTTGTTTTTTTCTTTTTTACAACATTTGGGTGTTAATCCCAGAGTTCTGCCAGTCGCTGGTTGTAACTTGTGTGGTGTCTCATAGCTTGTGCTGCTCATATGCAAAATCAAGTGGTGACGCCACCCAGAGAGCTCTAATGGTGATTGCAATGTTCATCACCCCAACAATAACTCCTGTCAGCAGATAAATATCAATAAAAACTAACAATAACTATACCTCGTATATAATATATATGACAATTTTCTTTCTTGATGAATGATATGTGGTAGGAGCCATGAGTGTAAAGTATAGTGATTTCAATTGAAATAAGTAATGGTAACTGCAGATAAATTCCAGCTTACAGGATGTCTTGCATCTTAAAATTAAGAGATTACTTATTCTTAAGAGTATGCACTTATTACTGCATGGAGAAGCACTATGTTGGAGGCAAGAGCAACACAGAGGAGAAAGGAGAACGGTGGTGTCAGTGAGGCCAGAGTTCAGACTGACAAGGAGCAGCAGGTCTGACTCTAGAAGTCTGGGATTTCTGTGGCCCTGCATGGCCGCAGGCCGTATGGTCAGTCAGGTTCTGGGGTGTGCACCAAGCGTGCGGCCGCTCCCTCCCCTCTCCAAGGAGCTCTTCCTCAGCACTGCGGTGCTGTGGGAGGAACATGGGCCTTGCTGGGCCCTAGAAACAGCCTTCTCCTAAGGATGCCTCGCTCCCTCCCGCCTACTGTTAGGTGCTTATTGACAAGAGCCTGATGGTCTCACACCTGTGCTGCTTGTCTTGTACTGAAATAATGGAGAGGCTGACATTTCAATCACATGAGTACAAAGAGATGAAGGAAGGGAAAAGAAAGAAAAACCAAAAAAAAAAAAAAAATCAAAAGTACTGGTATTAGGTCATGAAGATATTTGTAAGGGAATCTCAAGGACCAGAAACATTCCATAAACTGGAAAATAGCATGAACACGGCAGGAGACCAAATTACACAACCTTAGAATAATCTGACATATAAGCAGCTTGTAAAATATGTACTTCTATATTTACAGTTCTGTGTAATGAAAATTGCTGAAAATGATGAAATAATCCAAGATACTGAATCTTATATTAAACATTAAGTTTTATGTTTAAACATACAGAACTAGCAAGTACATATTTAAATAGTTTCTAAATGAAACAATGCTAATTTTATTTCATGTTCTGTATTTCGGACAGGGTCTATAGGGTTTCACTTCGTAGATGGGACGTGTGGTGATTTTCCTGTTTTCAGCTTCCCAGGCGCTGGGGTTACAGACTCGCACTGCCATGCCCAGTCTCAGTCACTGTCTCAGTCAGGCCCACCCTTAACTGTACTAATTTTAATTACTATACTTTCTGGTTAATTTGAATTCAACTACTGAGTTAGTTTCCCTACATTTAAAATCAGTTACTATTTTAGTTGTTCCTCAGTCCATCACAAGTAGATTTCAAGCAAGAGATCCTCTTACATTAATTAAAAAGTTCAGCTGGGCAAGGTAGTGTACACTACAATCCTAGCACTTGGGAGGCTGAGGTAGGAGGATCGCTGTGAGTTCAAGGCCAGCCTGAACTGCATAGGAAAACTCTGTCTCAAGAACAAGAAAAAACCAAAAGTGAACGAACAAAAAATAACTCATTGGAAACTTTCCTACTGTTACAGTAGAATCTAACATAATCCAGTACATGTAAGTGCTTTGAAATTGTGGCGTGTAATAAACATACCAAGCACGACTCTTGCTGGCTTTGAAGCCTGCCACTGCTTTCCCCATTCCTGCACCCAGCCCTCCCTGGAGACGGTAGTCCTCAAGGAGACTGTCCTTTCACTTCCCACCAAGGAGTTGGAGTAAGAAGAGACACCTGAGGTGACTGCTGTACTTAGTTTTAAAGCACAAGGATGCGACCCTTCTTTTCGGTGCGGTTTTCCTGTAGTGCTGGGCATGGGAGATTCATTCAAGGGCTCCTGGAGGCACGAATTTGCCTTGTAAATATGATGACACCCACACACATGAGGTTGAGGGACTATTCAACTTTGTTTTTTTGTTTTTGTTTTTCATTTGATATTTACATTTTATTAGTGTTATTATTATTTGGCATAATTACATACAAAGAATTAGCAATGTTAATTAATGCCACAATAATGCAGTCCTAATTACTTCCATTTATTCCAGAACATAAATGAATTTATAAATTTATTTATTTGGAATTCACATTTTTTTCAAAGTTTTATTGATAAACAGATAGCAATGAGACAGTTTCAAATCAAATTGGAAGTACAGTTTCAACAAATAATACACTGCATATATTCTTCT